AAGGAATATAGTCTCCAACTTCACACTCTTTTAGATACTAAGGAGAGTAAGTCTCTAGCATGGTATCCTTTTTCGGGCACTAAGGAGAAATATGAGCTACACCTAGGGTCCTGAGATGCCAGCAATGCCATATGGACTTAATCTCCACTAACTCTATTAGGGTGACCTCCCACCCTCTAACATGCCATATTTCACTACATATTTTCACTTGATCATGCATAAACACTTTTTAAGCAACTATAACAAATCTTACCACTTACTTCAAAAACATAAAATTTCACAAATTAATACTCTACTCATTTTCTAAAATAGCTAACTTTTATAAAATTGATACATATATACATAACAAATCATAAAAAACTTGAGAATAACTTATACAAGGTAATAAATAATGTAAATTATCTAGTTAACTTAACCCTTCTGTTACTAAAAAGTTAATCATGGTACTAAATATCCTCTTATGTCAAGGCAAGCTTTCCCACATCTCATTCTATAACAATAAGTACTATATGTTAATTTTTAATTAATCCAAACACTAATTGCTATCAATATCACTCCAATTCTCCTACTTTTCACTCTTAATCTCAACAAAGAGGCTTGTTAAGATTAATTTGTTCATACAATCCCTTTAAGCTTCCCTTTAACTTTATAACAATAAAACACTTGACATCTTAACTTGTCACACCTCAAAATCTCATAATTAAGCTAGGGCTTGATCCAATTTACACCAAACAAAAATAAACTTCATATTACCACTTATCCAAGGTTAAGAAACTTAAATCAAACCTTTAGATTTACTTAAAGTCTTTAAAATGTAGACTCACAGCTTAATCCATTTAGAGTAAATTCACCTACTTCCTAAATCCAATGAAAAAGAGATGTAGAGGTAAAAGAGAAAGGTAGGAAACTTACTCAAAAGTTTGAATGCCCAATTTAGCTTTAAAATCCTCCCAAATTAAAGCCCTAGCAGTGCTCAAATCTTTTCCCTTTGAATTTTAGGTTTCCCCACACAACAATTACCTTTTTCTAATGATTTTTATATTTTATGTTGTCTGTGCTGTTCACAAGTTGTGGCTCATGACACAGTGAGCAAAAGCCACTTTTGCTCCCCTTGATGCTACCCAATTTGATCCAGTTTCCATCCTAATTCAATTTAAAGCCAAATATGACCCAAGAAGTCAATTAACAACCCAGCAATATAATTAAATTAATTAATTATTTTTAACTAATTTATCCCTTAATTAGAAATTTATTCCAAGTTCAAAGTTTTTGGATGCTACATTGAAAACATGAATACATACCTGAATCAAGTGCGATTGTGGAGAGAGGGAGAGAAGCTCTTGGACTCATGATGATGACAATGCCAACACCCACAAAGCCACATGACAACCTATTGCCTATAATATTGAGAAGTTCAAAGTTGTCAGAGGTGAAGCAAATCACAGATGAGAACACCCACTCTCGGGCTATAGTTGTTGGATCATGTGTTTTAATGATTACAAAATTAAGAGAAGAGGTATTTGTTATGTGTGCAAATATAAAGAATCATGGATGAAGACAAAATCTCAAGAGCATAAAGAATTAAGAGAAGATGAAGAAGTTTAGGATAAGTAATTTAAATTATCTTAGATTCAATGTGAAAACTTAAAGAGCTTAATCAATTTTCTTAATCACTAAATGAATGCATCATATGTCTCTTATATGTATTAAGACTCATCTAAATATATTAAAGCTTGCAAACAATGCCCTTCTTGCGTATGGTTTTTCATAGAAAAAGTTTGCATAGTGAAGAGATAGAATCATGCGTGATTCTATAGGTCACTTATGAGTTTTTGCATGTTAGGTACACTGACAACTAAATCATGTGAATGTGAAGAAGTGCTTCATGTGTGATTAAGCACTTGTGTTGTGTGTTGCCTTAAGCTTTATCTTTGCATGCAAAACCAAGCATGAAAGGTTTCATTGTCCATGCAATTTTTAGTACCTGTGCTTCATTATATTATGACAAAGTTCAAAACCACACGTGAGATTGATGGTAGCCATGCGTGATTTGTCACATGTTGAATAATCACACTTTGTTTTGTTGAGTCTTAAATCTTCTCAAGTCAAGCTAAAATTGTTTACATGTATGATTATTGATTCCCAATTTTATATCCCTTAATCATGTAAAATCTTACTTGAGTTATACTTTATGCATGAATATGCATCAGACAAGTTTATGCATTAGTGCTTACAATTTCACGCGTGATATCATTTTGATTCCACGCAAGTTTTGATCACATAGAATGGCTTTGGCATTCTGCCACCCATTTCACGTGTGAGAGAGTAGGGGTTCCACAGAATTGATGATAGTTCATTATGTGCTAAACCACACATGAGAGCAAATAGTGCACTCTCAAGTTTTGGCACTCTAATATGTTAGTATATTCATAAATACAAAACCATGGGAGAGAGCAATATGGTACCACGTGAATTTTAGCACCTAGAACTGAATGAATATTCTTAAGTGCTAAACCACACGAGAGAGCAATAGGTACCACGCGTGATTAGGCACACAGAATTGAAGGTTATTTAGAAATGAAAAACCACACGTGAGAGGACAAGGTGTTCACGCGTGATCTATTGCATTCGGTTTTGTGAAACTTCTTCAGTGCAAAATCACGTGTGATTATACCAATCACTCATAAAAAATGCATTAATGGATAGAATCATTATTTCAACAGTTTGTTAACTTCAAAAAACTATATAAGTGATTCATTTTGAATCAGAACAAGAACTAATGATCTTTAAGTGAACGAATTATCATTTGTGCATTTAAGAGCTTTTTAAATTGTGATTTTACGCATTCTTGAAAAGAATTGTAAAAAGCTCTCAAAAGTTTATAAGCTTTCATTTATATTCTTATCTACTTTTCAAGAGAGTTTTCTGTAAAAAGCTTTTATTCTCTTCTTAGAAATCTTGAAAAGGAATTTTTCAAGTGTTGTAATAACTTGCAAATTGTAGTAAGGTTGTGTTAAATGAATCAAGACAAGGTTAGTCTTGAGAGTTATATTGTGGCGGCAAACACCCATTGAAGCTTGTGATTTTAGTTGAAAATCTCAAGTGTGATCTTGAGGATTGGGCATAGGCCAAGTTTGTGGCTGAACTAGTATAAATGTTGAGGGGTGCTATCTTCTTCCTTTACTCTTTCAAAAGTTTCAAGTGTCATCCAATTCACTCTCCTCCTGAGTGCCAACCTATCTTAATAATAGCGACACTGTGATGGTGAATGAGACACAGTTCAGGTAAGATGGCAATAAAGACAACACAAAGCACGACTGATGAAGGAAATATGGGAAATGACATCCATTACTTTTTAATTTGAATCAAGGGCAAAAGTGTCATTTTTTAATTCCTTAATGACAAAAGAATCCCAAGGGACTCCAGGGGAATTATGTCATTTTGTGGGACCAATCTATTATTTACATAATTTAAATAGATTTTACTGTCATTTTCTTATATATATATATATATCTATGTTCACATATATCCTTTTTTTGTTTTGCCATCCGCATATCTCTCTACATTAGACAGTTTTGATGGATTAAAAATTTATCATTGTATATTTCCCCCTTTTTTTTATTTTACTAATCTCTTCCAGGTCCAAATAAAATCAAGGATCTTCTTCTCAATTTATGCTAATTTACTATTTTCTTAATAATTTTCTTAATTTCTTTCTTAATAATTTGTATTTTTTCTTTCATCACCATAAAATAAGCAAGCATAATAAAGTCAATAGATAAGTTTTACTGAAAAAATGATTTGTGTTTTTCAAAAATATGAAACACTTGAATGAGAAGCGCAGAAAAGGACAACTTATTTTATTGTAGCCTTGAAAGTCATGTTTGACAAAAAAGCGCTAAAATCATTCTAAATGTTTACCAATTTATAAATAAACCATTACATCCCGAAATAAAAGCGGAAATTGATAACATATCCAAGATCTGCATGCTGATTAAGAAATTTTTTACAATGATTTTTTTTATTTAGGAACACAAAATATTTTAGAATTTTTCAATCAAAAAATATTTAAATATACTTTTTTTTTCATTCCATTTTATAATACCAAATATGCAGAGATGGATAGAAACTTGGTGTAAATTAATTATGAGTATTCACCTTCTTTCCTTCTTCTTTCTTTCAATTTTTTTTGTTATTTTATTTCTCAAATTTTAAAAATATTTATGTAATATTTAATTATTTAATTTTTTTTATAAATTTTAAATATTCAACAAAAATACTTCAAATATTACATTTAAGTAGCATTTTAATAGATGGATTTAAATTAGAATCTTATACTTAAAATCTGTATTTAAATAATGTAAAAAGTTCTAAAAGTAGAAAAGGGAGGAGGTGAGATTCAAAGCAAAAATAGAAGATTAATATTGATAAGCTTATCTCTATTTTTGAATCAATGAAAATTGAGAAAAAAAATGAGAAGAGGGACAAGAATAACAAAGGATTGATGGTGAAAATATGAAGAAAATAAAAGGATTATAATAGTTAAAATTTCAAATAATTAAAGTTTAGGGAAAATTTAAATTGTAAAAAATTTATATACTCAATCTTATATATTTAAAATGCTTGTTTCAATTAGATGAAAACATGCAAATCTTTTAAAATTATTTATTTTATAACTAATTCTTATTATTAATATTATTAATACATTATAGACGCCTATTGTGATTTAATTGGATTAAAAATGTTTTAAGTAGAGAAAATACTTAAATCCTATCCATTTTAAATTACAAAAAAAAAAAATCATGGATGTGGGTAAATTTTTATATATATCCAATTGGAGATTTGATACAAATCTAAATCTAGGCTTAAATTATCATGCATCCAACCACAGGTCATACTGGCCAAAAAAGGGACAGGCCACACAGCCTAAGAGGTTAAAATTTGATATCCTTCGTTCAAAATAAATAAATACAGGAGGGAGGGGCGGAGAGGGGGAGACCGGAGACAGCGCGCAATTTGATTATGAATAATTGGGCAAACGCAAATGTCAAGCTGAGTGCGACAGCAATATTTGAACTAGAAAACATTGCTCATATGCGCAGAATGGCCTATCAATGATGTTCCATTTGTATATACTTCATTCTCCAAATTCTACACCCCCCTCGTATAAATGTTCCATGAAAATTTGATCTGAGATCATCAACCCGGGATTTTCAAAAGATAATATATTATATATCGCAGCTTCCAATAGAGTTCCTGGTTTCTTGCAAGACCTATATTTACTTGAAATCTATCTATTTGATCCAGCTAAAATCCGTACAGAGCCGGTCAGAAGCCCGTAGACTCATCCCTTGCTTGATTTTTTTTTTTTAGTAGTACCCAAATTTTTGTTAGCAATTGATCGCATCTTGCTCTTTCAAAGGCGTGACTAATTTATTCTGCTCTGCTTCCACTTCTGGAATTTTGTGTTTCGATACCCTTTGTCTTTGAGAGCAAATTCTTAATTTTAGTTGATTTGAAGTGAGAGTAACATTGCTAAGTATATTCAATTGCATGAAAATTCGATTATAGTTGTCTGTGAGATTCGGCTGAATTGCTGAATTGGGCGTGGCGAATTTATTTTTGGGCAGTTTAGGGGCAGCGTGTTAATATATTGAAGGGGCTGAATTTTCTGGGTGCCTAGATGAGGGGGTCATACGAGGGGTTTCAAGTGTAATGAATGAGGGGTTTTCTGGGTATTCGTTCAAGTTATGGTTCTTTAGGTAAACAGCTACAGAAAAGATTTCCAATTATTCACACAGTACGAAAGCTTTCCAAGATGGTAAAGGAGAAAGAGAAGCTCTTCATGCGGTTCTTCAAGTTTACAGGGCAAAAGAGTATTGGAATGCTGTTACTCTTTGCTATTTGTGCTGCGTTTTTCTTCTGGGTTTTGAACGTTGAAAAAGGTTCTCATTTTCCCCCATTCTCCTTTCAATTTCTCTATTTTCTTCCATGGTTTTAGTAATTATATCATCTTATATAATGTGATTGCTCACAATTTAAGCCTTCTATTATTTGCTTATGTTTCATAGAACACATGGGATATGTAGTTTGATGAATCTCAATTGGATGATTACAATGATGTTGTGTGGGTAAAAGGAATTCGGCATATGAATACGTCTGGTAGCTTCTTTGACATATTCTGGATTGACTTGGGTGCTATTGCCATTATTGTCTTAAACTATTTCATCTATTTCTCTTCTATTTTCTTTTGTACTAGTGTGCCTGGTTGTTGCAGTTCTTATTTATTTGCAATTCCGACATGGAAGTTGTCTTTATTGATTCAATTTGACTCACTGGCTTATGCTATACTTTATGTCTCTGCCTTGCCAAAGGGGGAAAAAAAACGAAAGAAAACCCTGTTTTTTGATTTACAATTTGATACTTGATTTCTATTTTAATTAGGTAATGTTTGAGATATGGTTTGTTTCAGGTGAAGAATCACGGGAAATAAACAGTGTTCAGAACAATAATGTTAATGAAAGCATTGTGAGCCTAACTTCAGATATGGTGTTGCCTCCTCCTCCCCCTAGCCATTTTATGGGCTACACACTTCCTCCTGGGCATCCTTGTAATAGTTTCGTACTGCCTCCTCCACCAGCCGATAAAAAACGCACTGGGCCACGGCGTAAGTTATTTTAAACTATTTTAAATCACCCAGTTCCTGAAGGTTTTGATATTAAAGACCATACGCTGGGCTTGCTGTACATTTTAGATCACTTTATAATATATGCTGGTAGTGTTGTTTCTGAATACTTTATCTTGTTCATGTTTTAGCATGCCCGGTTTGTTACCTACCAGTTGAAGAAGCCATAGCACTGATGCCAAAATCTCCATCACCTTCACCAATCCTTCAGAATTTAACTTTTATCTATGAGGAAAATTTGAGTAGAGATGGAGAATTTGGTGGTTCTGACTTCGGTGGATATCCCACTTTGGCGCAGAGAAGTTATTCTCACCATATTCAACCATCAATGAATATACACTGTGGGTATGTTCTAGTTTTTGTTGGATATTTAACTGGAATATTCATATTTCTTATAGGTATAAAATGTCTTTGGCTGCAGTAGGACATATTTATCCTATACTTATGTTCATGTCTGTTCACTCTCCATCCTCGGTTATGCATGTGTCTATCAATCAGATTTGTTCGTGGAATCAAACCTGGCCGCAACACAGGGTATGATATGGATGAGGATGACCTCCTGTATATGGAACAGTGTACTGGCATTGTTGTTGCATCTTGCATATTTGGTCTGTATTTATCTTGCCAGTCTTGTATTTTCTTAGTTATTTAGGCATTTAATTTACTTATAAATTTAAAATGTTCTTCAGGAAATTTTGATGAGATAAATGAGCCATCAAATATAAGTGAATATTCGAAGAAGACTGTATGCTTCCTTATGTTTGTAGATGAAGAAACAGAAAAATATCAGAGAAGTTCTGGCAGGCTTGATAGCAGCAAGAAAATTGGGGTATGGAGAGTTATAGTTACACGGAATCCTCCTTACACTGATGGTAGACGGACTGGAAGGTAAGAGTTTATAAATTTGGCCAGCTTCACCATGACTGTGACATTGATATGCATAAACTTGAAAACATTTGGTGCAGATTCTCTAAATATTTACGTTTTTCCTCATGATCTGATTGTTGCTTTAGAGAACTACTGTATTTGACAGTGGTTTTTTCTCTAGTCTAGATTGGAGGAGGTCTTCTGATTCGCCTTCAATGCATGGAGGAAAATGAAGCTTAGATTAGTAGTACATCTATATTTTCTAGATGCTTTTATGTGATCTGAGCATTATAATGATTTTATCTTTCTTCGTGGGTTGAGATAACATATATTTTAGTTGAACACTTTTTGTTTGATTTTTTTTTTTTTTTGGTAACATAGATCTTCCTTGTGATCTTCTTTGTACCATTTTACACATTGTCTACAGATTCCAAAGCTTCTGATACATAGAATGACTCCAAATGCCCGCTATTCTATATGGATTGATGGAAAGCTTGAGCTTGTTGTTGATCCTCATCAAATTCTTGAAAGGTACCTCTAAGTGTCTCTCTTTGAGATTACATATCTATGCAGAGCTCATATTTACTTATTTTAGGTGGAATTTGAATTCAGCTTCCTTCATCATACGCTAGGAACATTGTCATCATGAATTCATCTGGATCTGGCATGAACAGAATATCAAATCATTGCCTTGGAATGAATTTATTAGATCTGTCCCTTTCTCAATCAAGGACTTTCTCCCTATGTTGGAATTGGTTGTTCTTGATCAATCAAGTTCATGCTTAAACCATGGAAATGATTGCAACAAATCCATAAACTCGAATATAATCCCATATCAATTCAGAGGAATAGATGAAATTGAATGCAGAAGAAGCGTACCTAAATCTGCAGTCAAGAGTGTCACATGGTTCCATGAGTTGATGGATTGGCGCTATGATCTTTCAAATTGTAAACATATGGTTATCTAGAAGTGGGGGCTCAAATAATTAGTTTTTCGTCAAGCCCAATCCTGGGACCACGACCCTATTTATATTATAGACTTGAGTGTGTTATTTACAATTTGGGCCCTCAACAAGTTATAAATATTACTCTTATCTATACATTAATTCCATAATAATTACATCTCTTAAGCCTTAAAACTTCTCCAAATAGACCGCTAATATTTAGGCTAAATTATAATAATGGCAACACATTTTTAATATTTACATGTGTGGCGCCATTTGTTTCCAACACCCTGTTATGGCTACTCTTCACATTTTGACAGTTTGTTCCCCAAAAACAAGAATCTGATGTCTGATTGATTATGTTCGGTGAAATTCTTGTTTGAGTCGTTACTATTACCTCTTCAGATGTAATAATCATGGATTAAATTCCTTTCCTACAGAACTAGAAAATTGCTAGAATTTTTTTTTTTTGTTTGCATTCAGGGTTAAAGCTTATTTGGGTGCTAGCATTGATACTTTGTCTTGCCTGACCAGATTGCTTGTTTTCGAACCTTAACCACTCTGCTTATTATTCAGGTTTTTGTGGAGAAAGAATGCAACGTTCGCAATATCGAGACATTATAAGCGGTTTGATGTATTTGTTGAAGCTGAGGCAAATAAAGCTGCTGGAAAGTACGATAATGCCTCTATTGACTTTCAGATTGAGTTTTATAAGAATGAGGGACTGACCCCATATACAGAGGACAAATATCCCATCATAAGTGGTACAGCCAAAATTTTCTTGTTGGGTTAGATGCAAATTTTTCTCAATTCACTTCATGATTCTTAATCTTGATTGTTGATTTGCAGATGTTCCTGAAGGATGTGTAATTGTCCGAGAGCTTATTCCTATTAGCAACCTCTTCACTTGTCTCTGGTTCAATGAAGTTGATCGGTTTACTTCTAGGGATCAGATAAGTTTTTCAACCGTGAGAGACAAAATTTTGTCTCAGGTGGATTTTCATTCTAATATGTTCCAGGATTGTGAGAGACGCAATTTTGTAGTTCAGGTAATTAATTATCTATGTTTTTCTTGAATTCAGTCACTGAAGTAAAGAAAAAGCTTTAAATTGTAGTGTGTGTTATGTGTTATATGACTATCTGGTACTACCGATTAATCCATATTTTTGAGTGTAGAATTGAACGATGAACAATCTAAACTCATAGGAATGTCCATTGAACTTTACTAATAACGGGAGTCAAGCACCTTTGAAATGATTTGAACTGTTCAGATTAAAAAATTTTAATAAGTCTGCTTATTATCTATTTGGATGGTCTGAATTGTCCAAATTTAATATTATTTTTAATAATTTTTATAAATTAACTATTTAGATTTACTTTAGATGCTTCAAATTTAATATTAATTTTTTAATTTTTATAAAATTTTATTTTTGTACGTACAATATTAAAAATAACGATAATCTCTTAATGGGGCCTTTTCAATTTTTTTTAAAATTACAAGTTAAAATTTTTAAATATAAACAGTTCAGAATAAATTTGTATGGCCAATTTATGAAACTTATAAAAAGTTAATATTAAAATGAGATTGTTTTGATTAAATATAGACTATGATGAAGGATGGATTTATTAAAAATTTTATAAATTTTATCTTGATAAAAAAAAATAAAAATCTGAACATTTCAAATTAAATATAGACAGTGCAAATTATATCAGATATGATTAACACAGGTTACTCATAATTTGCTCCCTATTAATAACCAAGCTTGGTGGCCATGTATTATTTGTTATCTTGCATTGAACCTATTGAAACCAAACTTTTTATGTATGTTTACAGAAATACCATCGCGAAGTAATGGAGCTGATCAAGGCTCTACGTTCTCCTCCCTCTTCACCCCTATCTCTGCCGCCACCTTCACCGCCGCCACCATTGCCGGAAAGTCTGCCTGTGGTGGCATATCCTAGACAACAATGGACAGATTGGAGGACGGCGTCGATGTACAATCGGAAAGCTTTTCCTGGCAATGGAGATTCTGGTGCGACTTAAGAATTGATTTTGGGTATTCACATTCTTTTTCATTCCACTGAGGAAAATTATTCAGTGTTGAGCAGAGGAAAATGTGCAGGAAGGATGTGTTGAGCTTTTTTGCAATTAGACTCTGTTTTTCTTACGCTTTAATTTCTTGAATTGTTCTTGCTTATTCGTTATTTTTTTTGCTGTATATGTATAGTAAATTTTCAATATTATATTGTTCCATTATTTTGTTCCGTTGTTGAAGAAAAAATATATTTGTTCTCATTTGTATTCAAGTCAAGCCATGTCTCTTTGGTCTCACTAATAAAGTGACTTAAGCTACTTTCCAAAAATTTGATTTATCTGTTTTAGAAAAACACAACAATTGGTCTCTTATAATTTCATCGTATTTGTAATTGGTTCTAGTTTTTTTTTTTAAAATGTATTAAGTCCCTATAGTCTATTCTATATATAATGTTAGTCTCTCTATTTTTAGGAATTAGCTTCCCTCCTACCAATTCCTTTGCCTCCCCTCCTCCCAACTTCTCTACCATTGGATTTCAATTTAAATAGCCGAGATTCATTACATTATGAAATCATTATTATCATAATATAAAATAATAAATAACTTAATAAATGTAAGCTGTTAAATTTTACAATATATTATTTAATATTACTATTATAAATAAATTTATTATTTAACATTATAATAATTTTATAATACAATGAATCATAGCCATTGAAATTGAGATCCAATGGTGGAAATGTTCGGAGGAGGGGAAGCGGAGGGATTGGTGGGAGGAGGAGAATCAAGTCCCTAGTTTTAAATATTCCAAGAGAGATGATAATGCAACACTAATTGGGTTAAATTATCTGATATATAATAGTGTGAATGAAAATATTGACATGTTTGAATTAGAAAACCTATAGAACATGTTATGGTTGGGAAGTACATCCTTTTAGACTCAAGGGGTATGCTTTGTTATCAGTAGAGACTGATTTCTTTTGTAATACCGTTGGAAATGGGAAATAAAAGGTGGGATAATATTTTTTTTAAATAGTTTTTTTGGAACAAAATTATTTTTTCATTAGAGACCCATCTTTTTCTCTGTTAACGGAAAACATGATGGGTTTTTAATAAAAGAGTGATTTTACTTTTAAAAAATTGTTCTAAGGAGAATATTGCCTCACTCTTAAATACAAGATGCTCAACGTTTGATGAAAAAGAAAATTAAGGGGAAAATGATTTTTAACCCTTGTTTTTGTTTTTGTTTTTTTTTTGCAGAAGCCAAAAAAAGGGACATTAAAAAATTCTACAAAAAATTGCTTGTGCTATATTTTCTTGGGAGAATAACAATTAAGCACTAAGAAATTAATTAATTCAAGTTAAATCTTAATCAATTTTAGAATGCCAATAAAGTCTTTTGGTTGTTAGTGATAATATGTTTAATAGGGATTTGCAAAAATTTGATAATTCAGCGCAAAATTTTACAATTTTATTATGATGCATTTGTAGTTTTTTTTTCAAAATTTAATTGGGAATATAAAAGTTCATATTTAATATTGAGAAGTATTAGTTCTAATAGTTTTAGGAATTCGCAAGTTTAATTTCTTATTTTGCAATTTCGTTGTGATGTATTTGTGCAACTTATTTTCCTAATTTAATAAAGAACACAAGTGTTCACTTTTAATATGAAAAGTATCAAGTCTAATAGCCCTAAAGATTTGCAAGTTACGTTCCCAATTTTATAATTTTGTTGTAATGAATTTGTAATTTGTTTCTTAAATGTTAATATGTAATGTAGATGTTTATATTTAATATTGAAAAAAAAATTAAGTTTATTTTTTATTACTTGCCTATTGCTTATTTATTAATAAAATAAATAGATCCTTCATTTTGTTCAATGCCTATTGTTTATTCTTCAATCCTAATAAAATTTTAAAAATAAGTTATAAATACATCACAATGAAATTGTAAAATTGAGAGTTTTTGTAAATTTTTAAAGATATTAGACTTATTACTTCTAAAGGACCAAAAGACTTTGTTAGTATTCTAAAATTAATTGAAATTTAATTTGAATTAATTGATATTTTTGATACTTAATTGTTGCTCTCGCTATTCTTTAATGAAAATTGGGAAGAAAACTTTTTTTTTGGTATATTTATATTGATATTGATTCTATTTTTTCAAGTAATAATTAGGAAAATCAATATATATATATATATATATAACAATATTTTAAGCCACCTTTTCAATGCTCATAAAGCTGTGGCTAAAAGAAAAATGAAAAAATTTCAATGAAGACACCTTGATCACACTTATTTATATTCGAAACTCCTAATTTTTTTAAATTTTATTGCATTTTAGAGGCACTGATTTGAGATTAACTTTTTAAGAAAAATGACAAAATTTTCATTTATTTAAATTAATATTAGAATTGCTCTACTTTACTTGTTAATTATTTTATTTCATTTATTTCTTTGCTTACAAAATATTGTTAATTGCATTACTTCACTTGTTTATTTCCCTATAATGAAATCAAGTGAAAGTCTAACAATGAACAAGTAAAGTAGGGCAATGAATAACAGTCTGTAAGTGAATGAAAAATATACAGTAGGAAAATTCGGATATTAATTTCAATAAAAGGCAATTTTGTCATTTCCTTTAGAAATTTAATATTAAATCAGTACTTCAAAGACTGAACTTCAATTTTAGAAATTTAGAAGCTTTGAATTTAAATAAGTATAGTCAAAGGGTTTTTTTTTATTAAAATTATCTCAAAAAAATTTAGGCTTGAATATTGGACTGCATGCCATAATTTCTACTTTACTCCTATTTGTTGGGCTCATTCCAATCAACGTCTCTCCTCTCCTAAATCAAATCTCTTCCTAGTTACTGTTGAAAACCTAGAAGGAGATTTTGGTAGTAGTAGTTCCTCATATTTTGGAAATCGCCAAGACTGAATTCAAACTTTTCACAATAGCAATATTAAGGTGGACATCCTTGATTTTAAGGGAAAGCTTTAGCTTGATGACTATGTTGATTGGCTACAAATAGTGGAACACATATTTAAGTTCAAAGAGGTGCTCGACAAGCAGAAAGTTAAGATTGTGGCTATCAAACTCAAGAAGCACGCATCCATCTAGTGGGAAAACCTGAAGAAAAAGCGTGAGAGAGAAGGAAAGACCAAGATCTAGACTTGGGAAAAAATGAGAAAAAATGAAGCGTGAGCTCATGAGGAAGTTTTTTCCTATACACTATTACCAAGATAACTTCATCCATTTGTAGAATTTACGCTAGAAAATGCTATCTGTAGAGGAGTATACTTGAGAGTTTGAAAAGCTTATGATGAAATGTGACATTTAGGAGAAGGAGGAGTAAACCATAGCTCGATATCTAGGAGGGTTAAACATGGCTATTAGCCATTAGGTGCAGTTGCAACAATACTAGACTCTAGACAAAGTGATTCGACTAGCAATCTATATTAGGAAACAAACCCTTAGGATGGCCTCATGCTAGCCGTCTTCATGGGCTAAGGATTTCCCCATTGCTTTTAGAGCTCAAGCCTAGCGTCCTACCATTTCCAGCAATCCCCTACTAAAGGTTAGAGAATTTTGGTCTAAGACAATTTGATACTTCAAATGCTAAGGAATGGGTCACATTGCTTCGAGGTGTCCTAACCACAAAGTCATCACCAACATAGAAGGAGACGCATATGGTACATCAGAGACTGTGGAAGAGGAAGAATTTGTATTCGACACCTAAGAGCCAGCGTATGATGAAGAGTTTGTACCTACTGACCATAGAGATGTTGGTGGTTTGGCATAACTTGTACACAGCCTAAGCAAAGGAAGAGCCTTGGCTCCATCATAATATCTTCCATACCTGTTGCATTGCTCAAGGGAAAGTGTGTGATGTCATTATTGACAATGGAAGTTGTGAGAACATAGTGTATAACTACATGATGGAAAAGCTGAAATTGCCTGCTCAAAACCATCTCGTCTTGACAAGCTCTAGTGGTTTAACAAAGGTAGTAAGGTAAATGTTTCTAAACATTGTTTGGTTAGTTTTTCCATTGGTAACAAATTTCAGGATGAAATGTGGTATGATGTTATGCCAATGGATACCTATCATCTACTCTAAGGAAGACCTTAACAATATGACCGACATGCATATCATGATGGCCTACAAATACCTATTCTTTCAATAAGGATAGAGTGAAAATTAAGCTAGCACCTTTGTTGCTCGAAGAGTATAGTCGGAGCAAGCAAGAGTCCAAGCCATTGGTGTCTTTAGTAACCAGAGAATAGTTTAAAGTGACAAAAGTAAAAGTCCTAGCTTTGAGCTTTATCCTGGTACTTGAAACTAATGCTACAGTTTCTACTATCTCAACAAACGTTCAACAACTATTAGCTGAGTTTCTGGATGTGATACCAGATGACATTCCATTTGGATTGCCACCGATGGGACATACAACATGCCATTGATTTTATTCCAAGTGTCATCATTCCCAACAAGCCTATCTATAGAATGAGTCCCCAGGAGCATGCAAAGGTTTATAGGCAAGTTGAAGAGCTATTGAAGAAAGGACTTATTCATGAAAGCATCAGTCCATGTGCCATACCTATATTACTAGTGACCAAGAAGGATGAAAATTAGAGAATGTCCATTGATTGCTGAGCAATCAACAAGATCACTATCAAGTATTGATTCTCGATACCCCTTCTTGATGATATGTTAGACTAGTTATATGGAACTATTTTGTAATGATCTTAAATTTTAAATAAAAAAAAATTTCTCCTAATTATACTTTATTTAAATTAGTTTTATGGTAAATGGAGAGTCTTGAATTAGTGGAACATATGCTTATAGCTTATTTGAAGGTCTAGAGTTTGAATTCTTTTGAGCTATAGGTTAATTTTATTTAGTTTAAAATTATAGAAAAATTTTCAAAATGCTGTGTCTTTTATGTTATTAAAGAAAAGTGTTGTTTCCTCTCTTATAATTTTCACAATTTCCTAATATTTAAAATTTTATTCTTTTCTGTCGGTCAAACACACGCACCAGGAGAAAAATTCTGGATCCTTCATTTCTCTTCAATTTTTTTTTCTTGTGGTCTCTCACTGCTGTGCTTCCAGTCACCGACTTCCCCTTCTCTTATTCCCTATTTGGTTGAATCATGTGGAGACCGAGAGAGAGAAGCTTTGAATTCAAGTCCCCTATTATTCTCCGTCTTTTTCGTTCTCCTTCCCCTGCTGTTGAGTCAGTCACCGATTAGTTTTGCTATGGGTTTGC